TGTTTTTTAATTTGAGACCGACAAACTTTTAGTTAACCAAACTACTATCAAGCACTATATGAAAGATTTGAAGATTTATAAAGGTTGGTAAATACCTTCTTTTGAGTACTTTGTTTTACCGCTATTGACTTATTGTAGTCACTAAGTCACTCTGTAATAGGAGAATATTTTAACAACTAAGTCTCCAATTAATCGACAATGTTACTCTTTTTCAGGCAGAGGTAAAGAGGGGGGGGTGGGTGGGTGGGGGGAATGGCATCTCTCTTTTGACAATGGATGCAACACTAAGGTAACTTTTAAAGAGTAAGATATATTTTTTACTTCTTTGTTATTGTACTTTAAACAACCAATCATATATTTCTTAATTAAAATTTTGTTTTCCGGAATTAATTTATAGAACCTTTTTTATATAGACAAAAACTTTTTTTTGGGATTTAAATAAACAGTAGTTGTGTTATTTTTTTTTTAGGTCGGGGGAGGGGGGGGAAGGTGAGGGTATACGCCCCCTCCACCCATACATCGATGTAAACACCACTTGTATATGAAAATTCATGTGGAAGATAATTTTATATTGCATACTAAATGTAATCATTTTCGTAAAGATAAAAATATTTATGAAAACAAGTCATATTTGATGCTAGGGTGTATCAAACCATCACCACCACACCCACCTCTATCATTTAAATACGCCTCTTATATACTTTGGTGGTTAAATAAATTTATATCAACTTTTTAGTATATTTAAACTGCTAATGCCTTGAAAAAGATCTTTTTTCTAAAAAAAATGTTCAGTTTAATACGGGTAAGGTGGTGGTTTGATGCCCCCCTCTGTCTATCCGATACGCCCAATGGTAAAAGTTTAACAAAAATATGTAGGCCACTCTTACACCTATCTTTTGACACCAAGATATTTGTATTTTGATAAGAATTGACAAAGTTATGACAGTTTAAGTAAAGAAAAACATAATTTTGACCACAATTTCTTGAACAATTCCATATATCGAAAAATCGGTACTTAAACCGTCATAACTTTTGAACCAATTGTTCGATTAGGATCAAGGGTGCTAACCCGCTCCATTTTTACAAAAAATCTTTTTTGGTCATATTAGATGCTTCTATAGCTTACCAAAAGCAACCATACAAGAGGTGAATAGTTAAGTTACAAAATGACATAAGCAAAATTATTCAACTTAAAAAAATATTTAAGATGTGAGGTTCCTTGTTAAAGTAAAAAAAATACTTTTTTTCGTCAAAATTAAACTATTTAGAAATAAATTTAATAGTGGTCTATTCTTTAACCAAAACACAATTAATTTTGAAGATACAATATTTATAACACGCTGGTTATCAGTCCTCTTTAATAAGTTATGTAAGTATATAGATAACGCTATATTTAGAATATTTTAAGAATATTTTAAGTAGATTTAAAATTATAAAAACTAAGAATGCTCAATTAGAATCATGGGTGCATACCAGTATGCTCCTTTGATCCTACCTATATGCACCCTTGATCCTATGTATGTATACTTGATTCGAGATCAAATGTATTCCATGATTGAAGAATAATTGAAGAATAAAAAATAATTCATGATTGAAGAATAATTTTTAAGTCATCAAAACAATGTCTATAATAAAAACCAATAAAATTATTATTAATTTTACAACAAATTTATCTTTTTTAAAAAAGTAACCAAAACACAATTAATTTTGAAGATACAATATTTATAACACGCTGGTTATCAGTCCTCTTTAATAAGTTATGTAAGTATATAGATAACGCTATATTTAGAATATTTTAAGAACATTTTAAGTAGATTTAAAATTATAAAAACTAAGAATGCTCAATTAGGATCATGGGTGCATACCAGTATGCTCCTTGATCCTACCTATATGCACCCTTGATCCTATGCATGTATACTTGGTTCGAGATCAAATGTATACCATGATTGTATAAGAATAATTTTTAAGTCATCAAAACAATGTCTATAATAAAAAAGTAACCAAAACACAATTAATTTTGAAGATACAATATTTATAACACGCTGGTTATCAGTCCTCTTTAATAAGTTATGTAAGTATATAGATAACGCTATAGGATCAAAGGTGCTTACGGATCAAGGGTGCAAGTTCTCCCCTATTCTATTACAAAATTGGAGTTATTTGAAGAATGGCAAAAATATGCAAAGGAAGAACGAAGTTTTCTTTTGTATGACTTTATATTGAAAGACTATACTACAGAAGATGTTACTAGTGATTCGATAAAAAAAATACAGTTAAAAATGGCAAGTATAACTAAATTTATATTATATATTTATATATCTTATTATAACTAAATTTGCGCAAAAATGGAATGCAGCCAATAGAAATATGGATCATTTTTTTTAAAAAAAAAAAAAGTTGGTTAGAGGGCGATAATTTAGAATTTAAAATAAATTTTTATCGGTCCTGTGCTTCTACAACATCTGAAGGAAGGCGGCCTCAAGGTCGACCAAAGAAAAACTTTGAAGACTCATCTTTAAAAGCCAAAAGACGTATTATAAATTTAGTTGAAGACTTGTTTCAATCACGGAGTGCCAATGAATTAACAACAGCTGCTGAAATAGCACATCGTTTGTCGGGTCAAAGATAATAGAAGTAGCTACTTCTATTAGAAAAAATACGGAAATCTTAGAGCGAAGAAAATCTACAGATGTTTTTTGTGATATCAGACAGTTGAGTAGCGATGAGGCACTTGCTTATTATGTAGACTCCAAGTGTATTAGTCACTCTTAAACAAACAAGAAAGTGGTCAATGAAAACAGGACATGAAGTGTTTCCGACTTACTTTAATTTATGTAAATCCAAAATGTTGTGTTACCCTCCAAAAGAATTTATTTCTATCTCAGAAACACGAGCTGAAATTAAACTTCAAGCCATATTGAACAAAACAAATGAACGTTTATTTGAAACACTAAGTAAATTTCCCAAAAATGCATCCTCTAATTTGTCGCTCACATTAATAAGCAAATGGGGATGTGACGGAAGTTCTGGCCACAATACTTATAAAAAAAGATTTGAGAACTCCGATGCTAATGATGATTTTCTGTTTGTGTTTGCGTTTGTCCCTTTGAAATTGAGTAATGATTCTAATACTATTATTTGGCAAAATCCTCGGCCATCGTCAACACTTTATTGCCGACCAATTAAATTCATATTTTCAAAAGAAATACAGGAGTTTACTGTAATAGAAACTGACAAAGTTTTAAAAGAAATATCTGAACTTCTTCCAACACTGTGTAATGTTGGTGAACTTAAATTTATTATGAAACACAATCTGTTACTTACAATGACACACGGAAAAGTATGCAATGCTTTAACTGATACGCGCTCTACACAAAAATTTTATATTTGTGGTGCTACTTCAAAAATGATGAATGGTCAGTTAAAAGGTATGGTTTCATAAAAAAGAAAATTACAATTTTGTTCTTTCTACCTTGCATGCTTGGATACGTACTTTTGAATGCCTGCTACATATTAGCTACCGTTTAGACATTAAAAAGTGGCAAGTTAGAGACAATAAGGATAAATGTCATATTAGAGAACGTTTAAAAGAGATTAAGCAAAAGATTCGAAAACAAATAGGACTTTTTGTGGATAAACCGAAGCCTCAATATAGCAATACAAATGATGGCAACAAAGCTCGCAGGTTTTTTTAAATCCAGAAAAGAGCGGAGAGATGACATGATTAGACGTTGAATTAATTAAAAAATTTATTGTTTTGTTAAGAACGCTATTTTCTGGTCATGACATTGATTGTGCCAAATTTAAAATACTTTGTTTTGAAACAAGGACTTTATATTTACATTTATATTCGTGGTATTACATGCCTCTTACAGTGCTTAAAATTTTAATGCACAGCACGGAAGTTATAAAGTCGTGTATTCTTCCGATTGGCCAGTTCTCAGAAGAATCTCTAGAAGCACGAAAAAAAGACCGCAGGAGATTTCGAGAACATTACTCTTGAAAAAAATCACGTATTTCTACAAATATGTATTTACTGAATATGCTTTTAATAACATCTGACACTGTTATCAATTCACTCAGAAAACTGCCAGCAAAAAGAAGCAAAAAATTACCAGTAGAAGTTTTGAACTTCCCATCCAACATAAGACGTCTTTAAGACGTCTTTAACTCATCTTAAACTTTTCTAGACGTCTTCAGCCAGTATAAGGCGGCTTTAAGACGTCTTTAACAGACGTCTTGGAGACGTCTTGCAACAAGTCGTCTTTAAAACGGCTATAATAGGAACAACTGGTTTAAGACGTCCTAAAGACATCTTAGCAAGACGTCTTCCTGAACATCCAGTTTAAGACGTTTTGAATTAATTCAAGAACTTTATTTTTAAAAACTTTATTAAAACTTTATTTTTTTTACAAAATAAAAAGTGCGAAAAGAAACTGGTAACTATATAGTTACCATTCTTTTCTTTTTTTTTCGATCATTAAAACTTACCTTCCGCATTTAATATTCGTCTTCCGCATATACTCGGTTTGAGACAAAATTCTGAGTATGCGGAAGACGAATATTAAATGCGGAAGATAAGTTTTAATGATCGAAAAGAAAAGAAAAGAATGGTAACTATATAGTTACCAGTTTCTTTTTGCACATATTATTTTATAAAAAAAATAAATAATATAAGTTTTAATAAAGTTTTTCACGTTAGTAAATTCAGTTAGTAAATAAGTGTAGTAATTCGTTTAGCACGTTAAAGTATTAATTTGTTCAATACGTTAAAGTAGTAATTCGTTTTAACTCATTCAAAGTAATTGTTAAGAATATGTCTGCATCAAGAAAAGATTATTTAAAGAACTGGAGAAAATTAAATAAATTAGTTTTAGAAGAAAATACGAGAAAGTGTGGATGTGTGTAACGTCAGCTGTGCACCACCTCAAGAAGAAGAAGTTAGAGCTTATTTTCATTCTAGCAGTCAAAGTTGTAGTAATTTACGTGTGGAAGAAAATATGGAAGTACGGTCGAGCGATTCACCTGAATATTTATCCGACAGTTCTAGTGACAGAAATTCTTTTAATTTAACCACCAGTAGAGAAAACCTCTCAGGAGACCTTGCATCTTGGTGTCTAGAGTTTACTTGTTCTCAAGCAGCTATGAATAGTTTACTCGATATACTTCGAAAACATGGTAACATGCTACCCAAAGATGCAAGAACTCTTTTAAAAGTACCACAAGAAGTTCAGTGTATTCAAAAATGTGGTGGCACATATTACTATTTTGGATTAGAAGCTGGTATCAAAAAAAATTTAACAGGTTCTGAAAGTGAAATATCGCTTAGTTTTAATATTGACGGATTACCTTTATTTAAACCATCCAATACTCAATTTTGGCCGATTCTTTGTGAAGTTGGTGGTGGAAAGATTTTTATTGTGGCAATATACACAGGGGAACGAAAACCATCAAGTTTGGATGTGTTTTTAGATGATTTTTTAAAAGAATTGTGTAGTATAAAATTATCCGGTATAACAATAAAATCAGTTGTACACACTGTTAAAGTTAGAGCTTTTCTATGTGATGCCCCACCAAGATCTTTTTTAAACGGGACTGTTGGTCATACTGGATATTTTTCCTGTGAAAGGTGCATTATTAAAGGATCCTGGGAAGGTAGGGTTGTGTTTAATAAAGAGCAAGAATTTCGCAAGCGAACCGATGAAGATTTTAGCTGCCAGTCATATAAGAAACATCAGAAATATAAGTCTCCTCTTATAGCTGCTGGTATCAAATGTGTTTCTGGATTCTGCCTTGACTATATGCATTTGATATGTCTTGGGGCTGTTAAAAGAATTCTGAAATATTTCCGAAAAGGTCCTATGGCTAGGCTGTCGCAAGCACATATATTGCAAATATCTGAGAGATTAATTGAATTTAGAAGTTACATTCCTAGTGATTTTGCTAGAAGGCCACGATCATTACTCGAAGTTGATAAGTGGAAAGCAACTGAATTCAGACAATTTCTTTTATACACTGGACCAGTTTCTTTGAAAGGAATTGTTTCTGAACCTGTCTATAAACACTTTCTTTCACTTTCAATTTCAGTATTTATTCTAGTACATCCAGATAGTAACCTGCGTAAAAGCTTTTTACCTTACTGTAAAAAGTTGCTTAAATATTTTGTGAACAATTGTAAAGAAGTTTTTGGTAAAACATTTACTGTATATAACATTCACAATTTATTGCATATATGTGATGACGTAGAGAATTTTGATTGCTCATTAAACGAAATATCTTGTTTTCCGTTTGAAAATTATTTGCACAAATTAAAAAAAGTTGTAAGGAATGCCAACAATCCAACTGCACAAATAGTAAAGCGAGTCATCAGTGAAGAAAATAATTATGATGGCAATTTTAAAACCAGTACAAAAAAAATCACTTCAAGTAGCAGAGATAATTGTTTTTTTAATGAAGATGGGAAACTTGTTTTTGTTAGATTTGTAAATAATAATAATAACACTTAAGAATGTGATGTTTATGCGAAGAGCTGCTTGAAGTCATTTTATGTTCATCCAATTGACTCAAAATTGTTAGGAATTTACTTCCTAGAAAAAAATCAAGATTTTACTAAATTCACTTTTTGTAAAAATGAACTTCAAAAATGTGTTTGTTTACCGTATAAGAGTGGCTATGTTATATATCCTGTTATTCATCTAGTCTAAATTATATAAATACATGTAAATTTGTAATATGCTTCTTCAAATAAATAAATTCTTTTTGTAATGTTATTTATTTACATTCTTCTAGCAACTAGTTCTATTTTCCTTGTGTATCCAGCTAGTTTTTTATTTTACTAGTATTTATTGTCAGTATTATCTAAAATGTTATAAATTTTTTTCTTGCATCTGAAAAAATTGTCACAAGTTCTATGTTGTTCCAGCTGCATTTTCAAAGTTTGTAATAAACATTTTTTTTTATTGTTACAAATTTACAGTAGAATTTACACTATAAAATGAGTGATGATCTTGGTTATACTCGCGTTGTTTGGAAACGAAAAATGGATCAAGGGAGTTAGTGTTTTTTGTTTCATTTTATCACTTATATAAAGTACGTTTCAGGGGATGTTTATTATTTTTTAATTCCCACTCCTTCTTGAGCACTTGAGCATATACTAATTGACATAAAATTTATACTTTAGAGTTCCAAAGAAGAGTATTGTTTAAACTTGAGCAGCTATCAGAGGAAGTAAAGTCCTTAAAAGACCGTCTTGATTTCAGACTTAATCAGGTAATTGAGGCAGATGAAAGTATGTCTTTGTTGAAAAAAAATATGAATACTATGGACGATTTTAATGAAAATCAAATTCAGCTCGCTGAGGAACCAATGAAAAGGAAATTGGTAAAATATCTAATACTATACATACATACTTCTAATTAATGGTCCAAAAATAACATAAACTAAAAATTCACTATCAGAGTGTTTAATAATGCATTTACATTACTGTTATGTGACTGTTTTACTTTTCATCAAAACTAAAACAACAATAACATTTTTGAACCCAAGATATTATAACAAAATAATTTGTAATCAAATTTGTTTTTAGATTGAAAGGCTGAGTAAAATTGGAGGTGCCAACATAGGTGACTGTACTCGAACGATTATGCGACGGTAAAAATGCTTTGTTTGTTGATTAAGAATAAAAAACAGCTTTAAAAACATTTATTTGTATTTTTACAGCTAAATTGCTAATCAGAATTCTCATGTGACCTGCTATCAGGGCTAATATAATGCTAATAAGAAAACAAGTTCTACTTAGGAACTACTGTAATTATCAGTTTTTTAACTGTATATTTACCTCCTGATTTTTTAGTATGTTGGATTGTTTTCTCATGAGAAATTTCAACATGGATGGGCAGAGAGGCGGAAAGAGAAGTTTTAAAGACACCAATCTTTATAAATGTGTGATTAGTAAGTGTCTTCTAATGCTACTTTCTAAAATAACAATTATTTTCTAGACCTATTTTTATTAATTTTCACTTATTAGGGTCTGTCCTAGAAAGATATCCAAAGGAATCAGAGAAGACAGTCCATCAGTTTATTCAGGGCGTGTTGAAAAACGCACCAGCATCACAAAAATCTGATTGAACATATTATAATTTAGTTTTTGTTGTTGATGGCGTGAAATAAATTTTTGGTAGTAAATCATGTCTCTTTTTTTCTCCAATAGCATTTGGATAGTTCATAAACTAAAAGTTAAAATGTTTTGACTTTTTCAAACGTTTTAAAGACGACTGCAAGACCTCTTCAAAATACGTCTTACAGTGTTTCATTTTGTACCAGTTTAAAACCTTTTAAAGACGTCTTAAGTTAGACGACTTTAAGATGTCTTGTATGCGACAATTTAAAGACGTTTTATGTAAGACGACTTTAAGACATCTTCAAACAGACGTCTTACAGTGTTTCATTTTAGACAAGTTTAAGACATCTTTAAGACGTTTATCAAGACGACTTTAAGACGTCTTTAAGACAACTTAATGTTGGGTGGGTTGATTGCACTTTAAATTATCTTAAAAAAATAGCATTAAGTAAGTAAAAAAAGATCAACCTGACTAATAGAACTAATTTTTAGAATATAAGGATTCGTAATTTACAAAACTTATCATTAAAATATCAAATTTTAAGCTACATTTTGTGAAACAATACTACTATGCTTTCCGCAAAAAAAAAAAAAAAAAATTAATACGTTATTTTTTCAATTTTGTTAACTGAAACCTTTGAACAATAAAAATTTAAATTTTTTAAATTTAAGTTACAGAAAAATATTTAGTATTGTTAAAATATTTAATTTTTTTACTAAGTTTTGCTTTTATTCAAGAAGCAATTAAAAACCACTGCTATTTTAGGACTTAAAACTAAGTAATTTCAATGAAAAACACTTGGTAATTTGAGCATGCTCATATTACACAAAAATGGCATCTTTAAATAAAGTCAAAAATAAATGTTTCAATGCATATTTCAAACATATGCATTTTTTAAACAAAAATGAATTGGATTTTTAGCTAATATATTTATCTTTATGAAAAAATTACTTTCATTATTTTAGCACTAAAATTTCGCGCCACATAATTATTACGCGTGATGATATTATTTTAACAAAGCAAAAAATTTAATAGCGTTTTAATTTGATGATATCCCCAAATAACTGCGTATAAATTTACGCTAATTGTACTGATTCCTGTTATCACCACATAAAGTCGAATCGAAAAACAAAAAGCAACTTGAACTTCACTGCTTACATTTAATAAATCTTTCAGTATGCTTATATTACCAAGGTGCATATTACCCTAATCTACCCTATCACATTTATATATTAAACAATTTTAATAAGTTATAATGACGGTAATAAAAATGTAAATAAATTGTAAGTAATATTAACATCAAATATAATAATACTAATAACAATAGTAATAATAATCTATTATTAGCCTAAGGTTTTAAGTAGAGTATTTTTCTATCAAAAAGTCAAAAAGACGCTTTTTAAATTGTGAAAATGAATTTTTAAAAAGAGTTGAGGGATTGAAAATGAAAAGGTAAATTATTCGACGACTTTACGCATTGGTTTGCAAAAGAATTATCAATAAAGAGAACTTTTTTAGTGGTAAAAATATTAAAAAATGACGGAGGGAGGTTTACTTGTTAATGAATCCAGACAAATTGACAATTTAATAAATAAACAAAATCACATAACTATTTTTAATTTTTAGAGTATTTTTGATAGAAAGTAAAGGATGTCAGAGTTAGAATGATACTTTTGAAAGAATATTATTTTCAAAGCCTTTTTTTGTAGGTTATATAACCTTAAAAAAACACTAGAGTTGCATTGTCCCCAAACCTGACAAGCGTATCTAAATGTAATACAAAAATTGCATGGTATATATTAAATAGAGTTTCATAATTGACATAGTGGCGATTTTTGGCTAGCGTCCCATTTGATTTACACAATTTTACTGCTAAGTTTTTAAGATGAGAGGAAAAAGATAGATATTAGTCAATTTGGAATCCAAGATATTTTAATGAAACTACGGGAAAGATTTTTTGTCCACTTAGTCTAAAGTTTAGGTTTTTATACATTTTAGATTGATTTGATTTGAAAATAATGAGTTCAGTTTTGTTGGTATTAAGGCTTAGTTTGTTAGAGCACAGCCATTGAAGAAGATTAGATAAATCATAAATAATATGTTTGCTAACTTTTTTTAATGCTTTGTTTGTTATGAGTAAGTTGGTCTTGTCAACAAAATGGTAAGCCGTTAAAAATTTTAGAGAGATAATAAGATCATTTGTAAAAATAAGGAAAAGTAATGGTCTTAATACAGAGCCTTAGGGTACATCCGTGGAGCATTTTATTGGAAAAGATTTGGCATCATTGATGGAGACAAATTGTGATCTATTACAAAGATATGATAAAAACCATTGCAGAGTATCACCTTGAATACCGTAGTGTTCTAATTTACTTAAGAGGATTCTTTTTTAAGAAGATTTACTTAAGAGAAGCCTTTGATTCTGGTCAACAGAATCAAAGACGTTCTCCAAGTCAAGAAACACTCCACATGCAAAAACTTTATTGTCAAGAGCATTTCTAATAGTTTTAGTTATTTTAATAAGTACATGAGTTGTGGAGTGTTTGCTACGAAATCCATGCTGATGTTTGTAAAGACAATGGTTTTTTTTAAGAAAACTATTAGGTCTGTTGTATATAGCTTTTTCAAATATTTTACTAATGTTAGATAGAAGAGGAATCGGTCGATAATTTCTGTGGTCCATTAAAGAACCCTTTTTATGGATGGGAATAACTTTGGCTATTTTAAAAACATCTGGAAAAAGACCTTTATTAAAAGAAAAATTATTCAATATGGTACAGAGAGGCTTGCAACTAACATGAGAAGTAAGTTTAAGATAGTGTGTGGGGATACTATTTGTTCCTAAACTTTTACCATTTTGTAAACTATTTTTTATTAAATCAGACACCTCATTTTCAGTTACTGGATTAAGAAAGAAAAAAATAGAATTAGCATTTTTTAAATAGTCAGAAAAGATGCTTTTAGAAAAAATCATTTTTTTTTGGGGTGGGTGTTGTGTTTTTTCATAGTATTTGTTAAAAATGTTAGCAACAGCCATACTGTCTGAGATAGTGTTACCATTAGACTTGAGACTGTAAGATTTAATTGGTGTAGGGGGTTTGATGTTAATAATTTCTTTTATTCCTTTCCGTGTATTTTTTGTATTGTTGAGGTTTTTGTTAAAGAAGGAGATGTAGTTTAATTTTTTGGAAATTCTTAATAAATTGCTAATTTTATTCATGTACAATTTTTATTTTATTATCATGTACAATTTATCGAATAGTTGACTTTTTGTGTTTGAATTTTTAAATTTTATATACTTTTTGTAAAGCTTATTTTTAATTGCAATTGGCTTGAAAACTCCATTAGTGATCTAAGGTTTAACTATGAGTTTAACTTGTTTTTTGGTCAGTTTTTTGTGCGGGGCATGACGATCAAAAATTGTGTTGAATGTTTTTAAAAAGAAGTTCATTGATTCATTACATCATCACCATTTTTGATATAAAACTTCCAGTCAATATTAGAAATATCCTAAATAAATTCATTGTGATTGAAATTTTTAAATGATCGTTTTTCTCTTATGGATTTTTTTTTTTGAAATAAGTACTAGGAATGCAAACAAACCGTGCCATGTGATCTGAAATTGATATTGTTACGTTACCAGAAGTTTGATTTTAAAGTTTTATTGAGATCAAAAATATTGTTGTATTTGTAGTTGGAATAAGTATTAGAGATTTTATTTATATCCTTAAAAAAGTTTATGAATTGTAATGGACTTTCTAAAGAATTTAAGGTACTAGTTGATAGAGTTTGACATGTTATATTTAAATAAGTCCGAAAGTGTGCTAAATGGCATATTCTTAATTATGCATTCACTACAATACCAGTCAGAAGAGTCTTTGACAAGAAGGTTATACAAAAATTTGTTGATTGAATTGCACTTAGCATGAACCCAAAAACAACAACAATCACATAAAATGCCTTATTGATGATTGGCTACTGCTTTATTGCAGAACTTACGATGGTACTTAATTGCTATGTAAAAAAAGTTAAAAACAAAGCAGTAATATATAAAGTATGGCATAAATCAATAATAAATAAAAATAGTATAGTTTAAAAAAAAAAAGATATAAAAATTAACTAGTAATCATAAAAAATTTATAGTATTATGAATTTTTAATAGTTAATTATTAATAAATAATATAATAGCAGATAATATATGTATAATAATAAAATAACATTAAAAGATACAGCTTTTATGTATAATAGCAGATAATATATGTATAATAAATAAATAACATTAAAAGATATAACTAAAAAAAAACATCGAACAAAAAGTTGTAAAATATATTAACGAAAAATAATATAACACAAGAAAAATAATAATAAATTTAAAAGAATATTATTTAAAAAATAATAATGTAACTCAAGAAAATAATTAATAATAAAACTAGAAACACAAAAATTATAATATTTGCCATATTATAAAAGATTTGCCATTTTATAAATATGGCAAATCTTTTATAATAAATGCGAAATATTTGCCATATTATAAATATGGCAAATCTTTCGGAGGAGCTAGCAAAACAAGATGGAAAAAAAAAGATTAATTTTTAAAATGGTTACTTTTAATATTTTAGAATAATAAGTAATATATGCATTTCTAATAATCATGTTACAGACTAAGATAAAGGTTTCCTTATTATATTGAACTTTAGTTGTATAAGAAAAATTACTTTTCCCATACCCTAACAACTGTGCTATCACAATCAATTTAAAATAATTATTTCCTATATTAAAAAAAAAGCACTATTTTATTTTCAGATTATGTGAAAAGATTATGTAGGAGGTGTACTTAATGTGTTTGCTTCAGAAAAAAAACATCTTTTATATATTGGAACATTTGGAGAAGTATAGAAATAGTTATAAGTTAATAAATATTTATTTTTTTTGAAGAAGACGGCTTACAACACCCACATTTGTTCATGTTATAATTTTTATAAAAATTGCATTTTGTTTTTGATTACT